CCTTCCGACCTGAGGTCTTTCCGTCCTGGGGACTTTCCGTCTTGTATTTTCCTTAGAAATAAACCTATTTTCCTTGATTTCCTCACGGTGTCCTTCAGCCAGTTCAATCAACTCTATTGCCAGGCCCATTCTTCTTTTTACCTTGGGCTTTTAACCTAATTCTAAATTTCGTACGTAACAGCTTCGAAATAGGACTTGCATATGTGGGATGTTTCAAGTTTTTGGATACCCATGCTGCCACGCCATTGCAGCCATCGATCACCACCGTTTTAACGTTAACGATTTTGTGGACATCTCCTTCCGGAGGGAGACGTATGAACGGGTTTATAGTCACCATATCAACCCCGTCCCCGGCATGCACGAGTATGAGAAAATCCACCTTGGGCCGGTTGATCCCCCGGAGAAAGAAATGGAAGAGCAAAGAAAGCAAGGAGATGTGATGGAAATGACGAGAAGAACCCGGAGAAAGCCTCTCGGAAAGAGTTGACTACCATATGCTCAAAGTGTTTGCAACAAGGGCATAACAAAAGACGATGCAAAAATGTTCCATTTCCTCCGAACGTAGTAGTCCCTAGATCATATTGCCTTTGGAGTAGTCATTAAAATATGGGGTCGTAATTCATGTTATATATTGCAGGTGACTACGCAGAAGTCAAGTGCAGCCGGGCCGGATTGCCATGACATTCAGGATGATCCAAACCCCTGTGAGGTACTATATTAACTCTCGACATACGCATATCGTTTGCTTTAAGCTATGTATTGATATTAATTGTCTCTTGATAATTCATCAATGGAGAATGCGGCGTCGAATAGAGATTCGCCGCACGACCCAGACACTGCAGGGACTTCTACACAGCCACAACAGGTACATATTCTGCCACTCCAATTTTTCTCGTCACACCTCAACCACACCTAATAATATATCTGTTTGCATATTCGCAAATAGGGAGGAACAAATTCCGGCGACAAAGGCAAACGACCAGCAACATCTTCCGTGCGAGCGTCCATCGCATCTCTCTTGAAATCTGTTCGATTCTCGAGAACACCGCGCACTCGTCGCGGTGCTGGTTCATGATTGTGTATTGGACCTGGGATTTCTAAGCTTTAATTTTTGTATTACATCTGCTAGGATTCCACTGCCTATGTCGCTTTTGTGTTAGCGAATTGGTTGATGTGTTTTTGTTTGTTAGTTCGCTACGACATTACGGTAGTGAGGTATTAATATTGTAACCGAAATTCTGCATTGCGTGGGGCTGGATTTTATTTGGAAAGAATGCTCCTGTCGGCTACCTTCTACTATCTATCTGTCAATTACTTCCTATCATCTGCAAATCATCCTCATCTTGTTTAATTTATAGTTTAGTATTTGAGATGATGTAATTTGTATTATGACTATTTATGGGTTCTAATTAACCAACATATCCACAACTTCCTCACCCAATTCTGATGAAATGTATATTTGAATGAAATGGTAATGGAACAGCCATATATAGAAGAAGAAGTACCTAAAAATGATGGCGAGGAAAATAAGAATTTGTTGAAAGCAAGTTCTTACTACTCCTCCACTTCACACCATAAACAAACTTAGATGCGAGATTTGTAATAATTAGGTGACACCAATCCTAGGCCCAAACTACCTAAAAGCTCCGTAATACGAACGAGCAATACTACGCCTTCTAAACAACAAGAACCACATAAGCGACACTAGACCTCTCAAAAACACACCCCGACGAGCAACACTGTACCGTCTAAAGTGCTACTTTTAACAACACAATTGCAATGAGAACAACCAAAACAGTCATGATTTTTTTCAAAGTGCGTCGCACCGCCTTCAACTCGCAAACGATCTGATCATTCTTCATCTTAATCTCCTTTATTTCATCAATTAAACACAGGGACGAGTCAACCTCAATCTCCACATGCATATCGCGGTCCTCGTGGCTTCTGTTGAGAGGTTCTAGCCAACGGAAAAAATCACAAACCCCCATCCGATAGTTGTCAGTCTCTTTTGATGGACCAACCACACGTATGGCAGCTACAACACCACATTTGCACTTTGGGCATTTGTACCGCAACTCAAAACAGGTTCTTTTTTTTGCGTAGGAATTATTACTACTCGTAGACATCTGCAGATCGTGAAATTGACACAATATCAGAGAAGCTCGACACTATGTCTTGAAGGAAAATAAGAAATTGAATTTTACAGAAGTGACGAAATTCCCAAAATAAGCTCTAAAGTGACGAAATTCTCAAAATTCCCAAAATTTCACACCAACTTACACAAAACCTCGAAAAGTGACGAACATTCAGCCTCGATTAAGAGAATAGCTACCAATTACGTATACAACAATGAATATACCCATGTTCGCAAAATACCCAATGAAGAATCGTACCTGGAGATTTGAATAATAGAAATGAAGAATCGCAAAATGAATTCAAGAAAGAGGCGAAAACAAAAACAACAAGTTATCAATAGCAATTCGTACCTGGAGATTTGAAATCCGTGGCCAAGCGAACCGAATAGGAGATTGAGGACCTGGGTTTGCTTCACTGGTGGGAGAACGATGGGGAGGAGTGTTACAACTTAATGGGAGTCATAAGGGTAAATTAGGTAATTTGGGTATTTTAGAAGAAGCAATCCTAGAAATACTCGTTTGATCTGCGCGTGCATACCAACCTCCGTTATCTTTTAACGTTTGGAGGGTTACGTGTAACGTTTCTGAAAACACAGGGGGGAACCATGCAGTTTTTAAAGTACAGGGGGAAAAGGCGCCAAATTTTCAAACCATAGGGGGGATATAGGCAGTTTTGCCAAAAAACTATGCAAACAAGATCCAACGCATAAACCTAGTTCCAAGGTTAGGCTTCTAAATCAAAGCCTTTTGTGTTTGATTATGAGATTCACTTTGCTTGTTATTATGTGGGGGTTTATATTATACATCTATTTTATGTTGTGTCAAGGAAAAACGGTTAAAATGGGGCAGGAAGAATAGAAGGGCTCCCAGAAAATCCAGAAACTTCAAATCTACAGATGCTCTGGTGAGATATTTTTACCATAGTTTTTTCTATTTTAGTTGTATATCTTGGTGTATGGTTTTAATATGAAATTTTATGATGTAATGTATGCGAGTTGTTTGGAAGAGATATCTAGATTTCTGGTATTGGCTAGTATGTTGTTGGTTATCATAATTTTTTTTGGTATTCAGATTTATGCTTGTTTGGTTTTTTAGGTTCAAGACTCAATTTAAGGTGTGAAAGTTTCTGGTTGAATATGACATCAATGGTGTCTTTCTGTTTGCACTAGTTGTGCATTGAGTATGTATTTTCTAGTTGGAGTGTGTATTCCCAATGTATTCTCCCTTCATTTCATTCATCAGAGAAGAATTTTTTCTTTGTAGCCAAATTTCAATTTTTTTAAGTCTTTGATTTTTTCATTTTGAAAAAATAGTTTTCGATAGTACTAATGACGCCCGGTAGGGCTTGCATTGGCTTTCAGACCATTCGGTTAAATTTATTCATGTTAGTTGGTTCCAGATAATACATTAGAATTAGTTCATAAAAAAAAAAAAAAAATCCAAGCATTGATTTTCATTAGGTTTGAGCATTGAGAATCAATTGCTAGTCGAGTCATTAATTCAAATTGTAAAAATATTTCACATCACGGATATCAACCTTGTTTGGTGCTTGAACGGGTTCTAGAAAGTAAAATAGCATTTATCATAGCTTATTAAGGTAGATATTGTTACTTTTATACATCACATATAGTCCAATAAATAATTAAACCAAGATACAATTTTCGTTAGGTATATAGTTATTCCTGAAACTTGTATCAGGTTCAAGAATGTTTAGTGGCATTTATTGTATTTGCATTACAAAAATAATATATTTGTAACAAAAATTAGGGACGGATGATGTTAACTATGTGAACTTTATGGACGGAATTTTAGAAATTTCGTCCCGAATGTTTTTAGTAACAGAAAAAATAAATTTAGGGATGAAAAAATTTGTTACAAAAACAATTTTTTTCTTGTAGCGTGGGTTAGGGCTAATGCAATTACTATTGTTGGTCGCATAGTACTATAATACCAAAACTAAGGAGAAAATTATAAAATATATTCTAGAAGTACCCACAATTAGTACTATGCTTCTATATATTTTTGTTGATGTGATTTGGGCATATTCTCTATAAAACTCGAAACTTTTGTACTTGGAACATGCATAAGGAGCAATTGATACCAAAACCACCATTTTCTACTGAGAGTATTACATAGCAAGATAAGAATAGTTTTGGTACATATATATATAGATAAATATATAATTTCCTAATTCTATTTATTTTAAATTGTAATTTAACCTACTTGGTTAAATTGTAATTTAAATATTAATTACAATTAATAGAATGAGTGAAAAACAACAATGAGATGAATTCACTCAGTGAAGTAATTATGCTAAAAAACTTAATAGCAACTTTAGCTTAATCATTTAATTAATTTTTATTTAAAGATATTAGAAATTAAAAATATATATAGTTATATATATTTTGCTTGGAGTACTCTAAATTTGCTTCTACTCAAGTCTTGAGATTTGAATTGCAAGAGCATTTAATATTTGGGATATGGATTCGCTTTGGCATTTAATGCAATATGTTCAAGCAAACACAATGATAATAGTAAGAATGGGTTTCTAGAAGAGATGTAAGTTGGAAATTATAGAATATGCATATTCTATTGGCACGCTATATTGAGATTACATATTATTGTACATTAGAGACTTCAATTTTTTGAATTATTTAACAAAATTTTTCCTAAAGTTATCTTAAGTTCAATGCATGATACATTGGAATATTATTTGTGCGCTATTTTGTTTCTTTTTCTATTTATTAAAGAAAGATTGACCATCATGCTTTAGAAGTTGGATAATAAATAAATATTTAAAAATTATTATTATTTTTTTTTTCTTAGTTTTAATGAATGATTCATTTATACCACTTCTTTCTCCACATGATTCTTACACAGGTTTTCATGGATAATTCAAATAATGCAAGGTAGGTTCTATAAAGTAATTTAGGATTTAAATCATTTATTGAATTCTACATCTAAAATTTTATGTTCTACAAAACAGTGTTGCACCCAAAAACCTATTCAAGGATATGAATACCAGATCCTCAGTGAAGGAGCGGGCACAACGGATCCTGAATCATTTGGGATATAAGTGCCCTCACTTTGCTAAATGTATGCTGCCGTCAAATGTCTCACGTGGATATTGGCTGGTAATTGTTTTGAGATATGAAATGCTATTTTTAGCATGCTTTCAATTAATATTGAATTCAGAAAACCACTCATGAATATTTTTTCCTCTATCTCATTGCAGCATATACCAAAGGAATTATGTAATACTCATTTGCCAAGTCGCAAAGCACCTATTAAATTGGTTGATGAACATGGAAATGAGTATTTTGTGACCTATATACCTAAAAGGCGTGGTCTGAGTGGTGGATGGATAACATTTTCCAAAGAACACCAACTACGGAAAGGGGACATAGTGATCTTTGGGTTGATCGACACATGCAAGTTACTGGTATTATGCTATTAATAATGAATTTAATATTTTTTTTACTTGGTGACGTAAGTAATTTTCTTGATTACTGCATTGCGTCAAAATACATGTGACATCAAATTTCTTAAGAGGGAAATATTTTAGTGTGATTTTAGCAATTCCTTTTAAGTTTGATATTACCAATGATTCATTCTGAATTTGATATTTTAGATGAGTATCTTTTGTTTTGGTAAAAATTGCATCAATTTTTATATCATGTAGGTCCACATGGTTCGAGTGAATGAGTTGGACGTTGCAAGTGCAGCTCTCACTCTCATCAATATTCAGGCTTCTGGAAGATAGATTGGTGTGAGTTGGTAGTTTTAACTCTCTCTCTCTTATCCTAGTGCACATTAATATTTTCAATGAAAATGTGTGGATGGATCTCCATTGTAATTATATATAGTATCAATTTCATGTCAACGGAGGACAGTAGTAAGTATATAAAGCAACAAGCTATAGAGTTTTTCTTGTAATATAGTAATTGTGAATGATTAGTTCAATAAATACAAATAAATGAAAGTTCTTATGAAATCATTTGTATAAATTTTATAATATATCAATTGATAATAATGAATACTGACCTGTTTATCATATTACAAACACAAACACAAACACAACATATTAAAATTTTAAATTAAATCAACAAATAATACACACATTACCAATAAAGTGAGAATTTCTAGCGGTAAACACTACCAAAAATTGAACATTTCTAGTGAATAAATAATAGCAACAAAATGTTGAAAACAAATAATGGTATTAGTAACAAATTTGGTTGTGGTAAAAAGCTTACATAGAATCAAAAATTATAATGTCATTTGTTACACTTGATTTTGCATAACTATTAAATATCATTAATGGGCGGAACTAGAATATATAATTTTTGTGCTTTAAATTACATATAAAATATACTTCTACCTTTTTATAACAAAATAAATAAATTACCGAATCATCGGCATATTACTTGCCTTATTTCTCCAAATCGTCTTCAATCATGAACCTGATGTTGCTCTTCCCCTACAATATTTTCTTAATAACATAGTTAAATTTACTTGATGTTGTTGTTGATCGCCAGAGTCATCCTACAATCACTCCATCTGAGTTACGTTGAGAAGCAACCTATTTTAACTGGTTTTGAGTTGAGAAGATGGTAGCGGAGCACTGTGAATGAAGCCATCCAGCTGGGTTATCAGTTCCGATGGCATTACTTTTCACAAAGTTCGTTTATTTTTTTGCTTAGTTATATGAATTCTTTTAACTAGATTTTGTCAATGTTTCTTCAATTGAATCTTCATCCTTAACTCATTTTAGTTGCATTTATGTGATTTGGATTTCTCATTTGATATATTGTTTATAAATTCATCTTGATAGATTTAGAGTTAGAGAAGATTCTATGTTTGATTTGGTAATTCAGTATTTTAGCTTCCAATAGTTGCTAGATTAATTTATGTCCTATTATTTTTCCCTACTTGGATTACGTGAGCATATCACTAGAAAAAAATAGTATATTTGTAACGGAATTCCGTTCCTAAAGTTCACGTAGCTAACGTAATTCCATCTCTAGTTCCGTCTCTAATATCATTAGTAACAGAAAAAGTGAATTTAAGAACGAAAAAATCTCGTTATAAAATTGATAATTTCTTGTAGTGTATATCTTTTACCCAGATACCAGTGAATGTAATTATTGGACAGTAACATAATGGGGCAAAGTTTTGGTGATGCAGCACAAAATACCATAGTTAGGCATAACCATGCACAACCGTTATAGGAATTGTTTGCACGTGACATGACCATGGCCAAGAAGCACATTCTCTTCTATTTTTCTTGCGTGACCATGCATAAGGACCACATCCTCATATATTTTGTTTGTATTTCTTCTTCACCCGTTGTTCTCCTAAGAACATTCAACATGTTTTCAGTTGTGTATGTCCTACGATCAGCTTTCTTACAAATGAGGTTAACTTGGTTAAATTTTTGTTCAATATATTCAAATATACCTTGTTTGGTTCCCGGACTACAACACTTTCTCTCGACCTAATTAAATTGTTGTTAGTTAATCTTAATATCATTAGTTAATTCTTATGCCTCATTTTGAGTTTTGTCATCAACGCACTAGAACTTACTAATGGATTTTTTTTATTTTTCATTTTTTGGTATGAATTTCATAAATATGTGTGTTCAGGGAGAATTAAAAGTTTGTTGTGTTGTAGTCCATAAAGTATTTTCAAATTCTAATTTTTCACATCTTAATCAGTGAATGCCAAATCAATCATTGAGAATTTAATATTGAAAAAAAAAAATTGATAAGAATTTCATGCGAGTCTAATTGTTCGTGGAATAAGGATTGAATTGAATTAAGGTAAAATTACACTAAGAAAAATAGATTCAAAAAATAAGGTAATGGTTAGGGGAGTCAGGTGGATCTCGGGTAAATAACAATATGGAATCATAATGCAATGGAATAACGGATGCTGACGAGTGATGGTTATTGGATTTTGATGACGTTTGCATGTGATGTGGATTATGGAATAGAGATGGTGATAAGTAAATAAGGGATGTAATAAAGGGAAAGTTTCCCTCCGATGGGTGAAGTTTTTCAAGATATATGTATATGTTTTGTGCAGGAGAACCTCACATAAGGGTGATTTTAGAGACTTTTTGCTTGTTATTTACTTGCAACTACAATGATATTTCTTAATCTATAGATACTTTTGGAAAGGTAAATAAGCCATCAATTATTTAGCTAATGTCCTATTACTTAAATAATTTATATGACCGACGATTTGTTCTCTTTAACACCCACGACCAACAAATCGAAAGATTAGTTTACTGCCTACCTATTACTATATTTTCTAAGTCAAATTGAGATCAAGAGGTCACTTTCACATTAGTGTATATGCAGTCGTAGATCTAACTAGTACTATTGAGTCCTCTCGGAACCTTCTAACTAGATTACACTAAATAACTTATATGCTTTTTCTAATCAAAGTTCCTTATGGGGCACTAATAGTTATCCTCTATGGGTGTTGATGAGATGAAGAATAAACGTACTTTATTAATTACAGAAGAATGGAAGTTAACAATTAAATTATTCAAGAAATAAATCTATCTAAATACGGAAAAGTAAATGGGGGTGTGGTATGGCTGGCCATATGACTCCTATCATGAGTAGTGCATGCTGCCCTGCGAAGTAGCTTAGAGCTTTTAGAACTTAAGGTTCTCGAATTTCAGAGTTGGTGAAAAATGAAAAATGAATGGTGAATGTTACATATGATCATATCAACTACTATTTATAGGCATTAGCTGAGCTTCTAGAAAGTTGGCAATTATTGACAGCTAATATCCCCCTATCACTTTGATTCTCAACCGTTAAAGCTAACAGATTAAAAAACTGGAAGGTTGATGTTCCTCCTATGGTGGATTGATGTAATTGAATTTAAAGGGAAATCCAAGCTACTAGTGAATGTAATTATAGGATGGTAACATAATGGGGCAAAATTTTGGTGAGGCAGCACAGGATACCCTACTTAAGCATAACCATGCACACTCTGGAGGAATTTTTATCACCAAACATAACCATGGCCAAGCAACACATTCTCTTATATTTTGCTTGTGTGACCATGCATAAGGACCATATCCTCATCTATTTTGTTTGTATTTCTTCTTCACCTGGTATTCTTCTAGTAACGTTTAGCGTGGTTTCACTAGTGTATGTCTACAACCAAAGTTTTTCAAATGAGGTTAATTTGGTTAAATTTGTGTTTAATATATTCAAATATACCTTTTTGTGTTCCTGGACTACAACACTTTCTCTCAACCTAATTATATAGTTTTTAGTTATTCTTAATATCATTAGTTAACTTCTTTGTCTTGTATAGAGTGTTGTCATGAATGCACCAAAACTTACTGATGGATTGTTTTATTTTTTTATTTTTTGGTATGAATTTCACAAATATGAGTGGTATGTTTTTTTTTTTTTTTGGTAGTAGTAGTAGTCCAATAAGTATTTTCAAATTCAAATTTTTGTAATCTTAATTAGTGAATGCCAGATCAATCATAAGGAATTTAATATTGACAAAAAATCTTATATTAGAATTTTATGCGAGTATATCTACTCACGAAATAAGAATTTAATTATATTGAGCTAAAATTACACTAAGAAAAATAAATTCACAAAACAAGGTAATGGTTAGTGGAGTCAAGTGGATTTCGGGTGAATAGCATTATGGAATCATAATGCAATGGAATAATGGATGCTGATGAGTAATGGTTCACGATTCTTGAGTGAAGTTTGTGTGTGATGTGGATTACTGAATAGAAGTGCTGATAAGTTAATAAAGGGTGGCAAAAGGGGAAAGGTTACCTTCGAGTATATATGTATACACTTTGTGCGGAAGAATTTCTTATAAAGGTGATTGTATAGACCTTTTGCTCGCTATTTACTCGCGAATACAATGATTTTTTTTAATCTATAAACACTCATTTAGCTAATGTCTTATTTCTGAAATTATTTTTTTGACCGACGAGTTGTTCTCTTTAACACTCACGATCGATAAATCGAAAGATTAGTTTGCTACCTACCTATTACTATATTTTCTAAGTTACATTAAGATCAAGGGGTCACTTTCACATTAGAGTATATGTAGTTCTGGGTCTACCTAGTGCCATGGAGTCCTCTTGGAACCTTCTAACTAGATTACACTAAATGACTTCTATCTTTTTTATAATCAAATTTTGCGTGGGGCACCTCACGAAGTATTTATCTTATATGGGTGTTGGTGAGATGAAGAATAAATTTATTTTATTAATTAGAAGGAATGGAATTTGGCAATTGCATTATTTAAGCAATAAATTTATCAAATACGGAAAAGTAAATGGGGGTGTGGTGTGGCCGGTCACATGACTCCTATGATGAGTAGGGCATGTTGCCCTGCGAAGTAGCTCTAAGCTTTTAGTGTTACTATTCTTGCTTTGTCAACCAACTAGATAAGTGTACTTTTTTTGTTGCTTATGTTCCTATTGCTGGGGACGATGTGGTTGATGAAGAGATGGAAGCCTTAAGTTCGACCTCTTCTTGCTCGCACAAAACTTACATAACTTGTGCCTCAACCAATCTTGCTTCGTCGGCCGACTAGAATCTTATTTCTTTTATATGTGAAAAATTTAGTTCTCGGCCATACTCTACCCATAAGTAGTAGTCTTTTTGGGACTAATCTTGTTCGGGGCAGTAAAGTGCACTTGTTCGCCTTCAGAGATTGTCCATGTCTTTATTTATGACGAAAAAGTTTTCTCACCTTAAA